ACAGCTCAAGAAACTGAATCAGAAAAGTGTGAACACGGGAGAAAGATATCAAACGAGGAAAGAAACAATGAAGATCGCGAGCTGAGAACACAGCTAGACACCTTTCCGAAAGGGGACAACGGGGTCTTTCCATTCTACATTCAAAAATGAAAATCTCTTCTCTCTCTCAACTTGATAGAGAGAAGATAAAAACAAAACAATAAGAATAAAGGAATATGCTGATTGAAAGGTGAATAACGAGAAAGAAGAAGAAAGAGTTTTCAAATTGCACAGGATAAACGATACTATGAGGACTCAGACAGGAAATCAATCGATAACTTGTAAGTTAACGATAGTAGGAGTAATAGGAAGAAATCGATGAAAACGAGGAAGGATAGGGGAATGAGCTCAGACTACAACATCTAACTACACCCTAACCATCCAGAACGGTTTCAGCAAGTATGGGTGGAGAAGGAACAGGCTTGGAGAGATTTAAGTAACAACATGACACAGCCAAAGTAGAACTGCATGAAATTGAATATGGGGGAAAGGATAACAAACCGTAAAAGAGGAAAGCGAGGCAAAGTCGAAGGAAATGAAGGGAAGACAAAGGATAACATAAGAACTCTGACAAGTAATCACTCAGTCATCTGTGAATGGAGGAGAGAGAGAGATAGAGGGAGGGAGAGATGCTTACTGAAGCATCGAGACTTGTTCTACCTAGAATAGCGTGAAATTTTATTTGAAGCTCAGATCATGACACCTCAGCTTACTCCCGCTGAAGTCATAAGAGCCCCGCCCCGACACTTCGAGGGTATACAGGTGCGACAGTAAGAGGAACAGTCATACAGGGATGCGGAAACAGAAGGAGATATGTATGATCAGATATCAGAAATGAAAGAAAGAACAAATCTTAGACAAGCACAGATGATGACGAGAACTCAATAAGGAACTTTAGACTGTTAAGAACTCAGTTGAACTCCTTTGAACAGAGAACAACCGAGTTTTTCATTTTTTCGTTTCGAAATGAAAACCTCTCAACTCAACTAAAACCCTTCTAAGACAAAAGAAAAATGGAATAAAACGAAGAAGAAGCTCTCTGAATTATAAAGTAATAAATATAAATAAATGATTTTTCTGTGTTTATTGATTGATTGGAATCAACAAATCGCAATAGAGCACATGTTGTGAGCCGGCTATGAATTCTGCTTTTCACGTGATTTTGAAGCGAATTTTAGTGTTTTTCTATGCAATTCTGATTTGAAAACAAGGAATGAATATGATATTCAAGTTTGAAATAAAATTCTGATCTAAAATAACCCAAAAAACAACCGATTTCATTAACTTTGAGCCAAGTTAGGTCGGTTTTCCGACAGAGAACGACCGGGTCGTTTTTTTTTTGACGTAAAAATTATTTTCACGTGGCGCGTTCCCGCGGGGGTATATAAGCCGTGGAGCATCTGAATCACGTCAGTTGGCTGCGTGAGCTGGTGAGCTCCACTCCTTCCTCTCTGGAGGTCCTCTAGAGAGGGAGAAAAAGCTCATCGGCTCACAAGCCAGGGATGTGACCTGGACAAGTCTGGGTCTATCTGAGGCGCACCGTAAGGTTGCATTCCGCCCCAAACCGCTCAGAATAGTTGCATTCCATACCAGACCGTCCAGAACGGTTGCATTCCAACCACCTCGCCGTACAGCACGGTTGCATTCCAACCCTCACTGTTCAGAACGGTTGTACTCCACCCCTAGCCGTCCAGTAGATTGCATCCTCAATGTCGCCAACCCTACAGAAAAATCAATCAAAATAATATTTTTGTGTGAAAATAAATTAATGAGTTGTTACTTAATTAGATTTTCTCATGAATTAAAACTATTTTGTTCCTTATTTATGACCAACTGAAAGTACATATCATTACAATCAAGCATTGGAGCATGTCGAAACAAAAATGGAAAAGAGAATCATGGACTAAGCATTTGGAATTCTCTTCTACTTGCTGGTTAACCGTAAATCTACTGAACAAGAAGATAAGTGATACAAAATAAAAATCTTTGAGAATGCACAAAAGATTGTACATGTTCTGTTGTTTCCCCTCCTTACTGCTGCGGTTACATGAAGATGGACAAAAAGGAAACAAATAAAAAGGGAAGTGAAATGTATGAAGCTCCACAGAGATCACGTAGCGCATAGGGTTTTGTGGAAGTCAACGACAATTGCAAAATCATTCGCTTCATGGCATCTAAGGTGACAGCCGAGAGATAATCATAAGAATAGAGGGAGTTACTTAAATTTATAGTTCGACCGAGATCACCCAAAATTAAGAAAATATATACAAATCCTTTGAAATAATTAAAGGTAATATCGGGTGGTAACCTCGTGTCCAAACTTGGAGAAAGTCTATTCTAACACATATTCACATATATGAGGGGATGACCGGCCAAAATAATCTATCATATAAAAATTCTTGGAAGAAAGACATCTTAAGATGAGTACCTGACCGAAAAATTAGGAGATGTTAATAAAGGTAAATCTAGATAACCCGGCTAGAGAACAATCACACAGACATGGACAGAAGACTGAACAAACTATTCGAGAAACAAATTTCCTTTCTTTAGAGATTAGAGGAAAACTATTCGTCTCTTTCCTCAATGGTCTATATCCGTAACTTTCAAGACAATCACAACAATTTAACAACGCGCTTAGGAGGGACACGGGTCAGCGTGAGCGATATGATGGGTTTCTTCTAAAGGGAGATTGAAGATTTCTAAATATACAAAAGTTCAAAACGTTTGGTCAATACATATACTCGATCGTATACAAATAGAGAAAATAAATCTAACAAATAATAAATATAACAAATTGAAGAATAATAATTAGTGAGCAGCGAAGGAATGGGTTATCCGTAGGTTTGTCTGTTGTGCTGTATACATTTGTGTGTTCACAAACAGCACTGAATGGATTGATAGATAAATCGTCCATAAACGACGAACATAAGCCGAGAGGTAAATTCAAGATTTCCGGATCTTCTAGATATTGTATAAATTAGCTAATCTTTCCCGTAATGGCATTGGAAACTGCGAAGTGTAGGAATTCCAGTTTTCATCTCCCAAATGATTGCGGAATGCTTCAAGTATCTGTAACAAGTCACAACAGTTATGAGTACAGTGTTGTCAACTTACTCTGATGAAAACTTCTTTAAGATCAGGTTTGAGAGTTTGAAAAGAGGCGATGGCATCGCACCAGAATATGAAATCCTGAAATACACATTTAGAAACGATTGCTACGGAAGAAATTACATTTATGAGTCCTTGGGGATTAATATTAATCATTGTGCACAAGCCACGGAAGGCACTTTCTTTCTCTACGTTATCTCTGAAACATTATGACTTGAACAATGCAAACAAGAAGGAAACCAACCTGCAGTTCCTCAAGCTCATACAGACGTTCCTTATGAAGTGACTCATCATAGGAGCAACATCTTCGGCGCAATATATCCCTAACTTTCCAATTGTTATAGCTGTAAGTAGTCATGTTAAAAGATATTTCTAGAACTCATCACCTGTATTCTCTAATAAGGTTCTTTGTAAATCTGTCTTGTTCATAATGAATATGAGACAAGGAAGGATTGGAGGCACAAAGGGCCGAAGCTCTGGACCAGCTCGAATAGCAATTTCTCCAAAAGCCCATACCGCATTGTTACAAGCGGATACATGAGCAACGTCAAAACTGAGAGTTAAAACCGGTACAAAGGTGCCTGAAAACATATACAGTGAAGACAAAGAACGATCTGAATAGAAATACTTAAGTAAGGTTTGACGTGTACCCAGCAGGTTTTGACTAAATCACCGAACAAAGCGAAAGTACTCTGCCTGACTTCTCCAGAAGCGTCCTGCAAGAGAAAAATGAAAAAAACATATATTTCACACACGCTTACCATGGCTGCGGCTACAACTAAGTGAATGAGATTACTATTTGCAACTAAAGGTTCAATTCCAGTCGACAGACCTTCAGCTAAACCGGAGAGCAGATCAAGAGCAACAATAAGAAAATCCTACAAACAGAAAAATAAGAAGAGAAACTATTGGTTCCTCACTTTGTCTGGCATTTCGAACTGATCAGGGTGTTGAGAAGCTTTGATACAAGCCTCCATTGATTTTTCGATCAAGGCAACGCATCTACAATTCAGAGAACGTTATGAGAAAGCAATATCATCACATACTTGTTGAACACTGGCTCAGTGTAAGGTATGAACTCGGTGCCTGTTGATGTTGCGATGGCAGAAACACATTCGAGCAATGGGAACAACTCCTATATAAGCAAGTTAGTTGGAAACAGGATAAACTGATAAACCTTCTCATCATTGCCCAATCGCATCCACTTCTCCATTAAAGGAGGCATGAGCAATTGTACATACGCAGGATTCCGCATAGCTGATCCAACTGATCCGGCGAGAGTTCCAACAGCATCATACAGAATTAACAAATTTCGAGCCTGGGTTAGAAAAATAATAACAGAATCTATAATGAATAGCCATACCTGATAAATCGAAAAAGCCTTGACAAGTGTGGTGATGATTTCAGGTAAATATGGAATCAAGAAGTCTCCTCCTTCCTCCTCAAAGACAGCGAACGCACTGCAGGCGGCTTCTTGGACTTTCTTATTATTATCAAGAATTCTTTGTAAGAGCTGAGAATAAACATTTAAATTTCGAAAGTTCGAAAGGAAACTAACCCCGTTTAGCAAAGGATAGAAGAAAGAATCGGCTGCTTCATCAATAACCCAACTACAGAACCTAGACAATGTCCAACAAGTGATGGAACGAACGAGTGGTTTTGTGTCTTGTAGCATGTTAAGCAGGAATGGCACAAGTTCTGGCAAAAACCTGACCAAGCCTTGTGTGCATCCTTCTGCTATAGCTCCCAAGGCCAAAATTCCTGACTCTTTCACTTCCCATTCAGGATGGAAAAGGGCTTCTTTGATAATTGGCAAAATGACCGGAAGAAGTTCATCCCGGAATACATTTGCCAGCACATCGAGAGAGGCTGCTGAGCATCGTCCTGAACAAAAACGTAGTTTCCTCAGAGTTAGAATAGGAACTCACTTATATTCCAATCGGCAATAGCATCATCATCATCATCTTCGTCATCTCCCTTAAAAATATAAACGAATTAAGAGATACTTTTTGAACACTCACCGTTCCCACTTCCTTGGCTTTATGGAATCGTGGCTTGATGTCTTCTTCGCGATCTGGGACCATACTGTCGTCGTCACAATTACCCTGATGAATATACATGAGAATTTAATCTGATTAGTTCGATACCTTGAACAAAATTATATCCTCTTCAGAATATCGCATACATTTCACAAGAACGGGAATCAGTTTAGACAAAACTTCAGACAGAGCGGGTTTGCAGACATCAGGATTTTCTGCGAGTGAGAGGAAGAACTCACAGGCTTCTAAAGCTATTGTCTCATTTGGATCCTGGAATTGAAAACATAATTCACAAATAGATTGATACTACATACCCCTGTTTTAATAATAATATAGTCGATAACATTTGGGAAATGAGGAGCGAGGTTTGGTAAGAAACCATCTAATAATAGACAAAGAGACCTGCAGAGCTGCCGTTGCACTTCCTTAACAAGAAAATGTAATCAGGGAGAAAACAACAGCTTACTTCGTCTGTATCGAGAGCTCGTTGGAATAAACATGGGAGATATTGATCAATGATGGGTGTTATAGGATCATTGTTGATCATCAGAATGCTGTTGAATGAGCTCATAGCTAGTCCTCTCATTTTTGCGTTGGCTGAGTTGAAAAATTTCAAAATTGGAATCATGAGAGGTTGAGCTGTTTCGTTTTGCAATCTATCTCCATAATCTTCAAATACTTTCTGTATGGCACCCATAGCTCCCTGAAATTCAAAAAATATTCTAATTTCCACGTATATGTATATGCAAATGTATATTGTTCGCGAAGCGTTCTGATTTCATTTACTACATTCTCTGCTTGTGATCGGTTGGTTCCGCTGTGCTCTTCACTACTCATACCCAAACTACTTACTTCTTGCATGTAGGGGTTACCCTCTTCTTCTAGCATTTGCTTTAATGTTGGTAACAAATCTGGCCATCCATTAACTCCTTGTTCCATGACAATAGTTGTAACTGGAAGGATTATGAATTGAGATGATTTCTTCTCTCTATGATCATACTTATAATTCCGACAGTTGCTCTGACCAATTGAGAACTGTCAGCGATACTCCGTAATGTTTCTTGCTGGACATATTTTTTAATATCGTCCGGATATTGCGACCAACGGTTTCGAATATTATTTTTTAGAATAAGACCAGCCAACGAGCGTGATTGCTGAAGGAAACTCATGACGAGATTGAGAGGTTAGGACAGTACCTCTTCTGAACTGGCTAATGAACTTAGTATATAAACAAGATAACAGCAAAACTGCTGATGATTATTGAGTTGATCTAGCCTTTGCTGCACTGAGCGTTGAACTTCTGTGTCAGATGAGGTTGAGTGGTGAAGAAGCGCGAGAACCTCAATATGTAGTGGGTGAATTGCCGTTTGATCAAATACTTACCTGCTGAAGTTCGTCCTGATTGGGTTCCCAGCTTGTCATCACTAACACACAACAAATGCACCACTATATAATTTAGAGAATCTAAGAAACGCTTTGAAAGAACGACAAACTCAATGAAACAGATATGTAAAGGAACAACCTTTGAAGACGAACGAACAAAATGTTTAACAGTCGCAAATCAACAATATTAACAACGAAAAACAAATTAGGAATAACAATTAAGAATTTACAACAACGTCTGACTTTTTCGAATATATTTCCCGCATTCTGCTATATTTCTTTCGATCGGCTTCAGTAACAGAAGGTCGTATTCTCTTGATCGCTTCCTACAAGAAATGAAAATAGAAAATTAAATAATAACAAAATTAATAATTTAGAAATGAAAATGACATACAAGGAAATGAGGCGTGCTCACACAATCGACACTTGTGTCATTTTTGAACAGACGTTCCTTCAAGGCAATGATTGATGCCTCGTGCACTATGGCGGCTAAGTCTGCTCCACTGAAAAGCATCTTTTGAAATAGGTGACCGAATAAAGCTCATACGTGAAACCATCCAGCTCTGGCAAGCATCCTATCTCTTCGAAATTCACGTCGCTGCTTATTTTCGGATTCGTACCGCCCTGAAGTATTGGATATCACTTTTAAAAACTAGATAAGAGACATACTTTTGTAGCTTTCCTCAAAATATCCGCCCTATCGGAACTATTAGGGAAGTTCACAAACAGAATTTTATCCAACCTACCAGGACGTAGGATGGCGGCGTCAACAATATCTATGAAAAATTTTTTCGAACAAAGATAGATGAAGAGTTGCAAACCTGGTCTGTTAGTTGCTCCAATAAGAAATACTTGTTTCCTTCCTTCAACACCATCCATTTCGGTGAGCAGTTGGTTGACTAAGCGAGAACTTCCGGAGCTCTGAAGCAGTTCGGTAATGATATTACATGAGACATCAATTCACCTCATTATTCGAACGTTTGGGACATAGAGCATCAATCTCGTCGAAGAAGATGACACAGGGTGAAGAGTCTCGGGCCCTTTGGAATACTGTGCGAACTGCTCGTTCACTTTCTCCAACATACTAAAAATGAACATCGATTGAATTCTATGTGATGCGCTCAGTTTTCTTTTCCCCTCTTTTATATTTCTTAAATAAACATTTTTTGATTTAGATACAACCTCGTTTATATTGAGAAAGCCCCTAATTCAGTGGGAAGCGCTGATATTGATCAATTTACGCAATATTTTCACATTTACGAGCGGTCTTTCCCTATTACGGCAAAGCCGTTATCCGTCTCTAGCTCCGATCAATATTCTCAAAGAGCAAGTCATATATGTCAAATCACCCACCATGTTTAACAGTTCTGGACCTTTAACACTGATGAAGTTCATTCCTGTTTCGTTTGCAACGGCTTTTGCCAACAAAGTTTTTCCGCAACCCGGAGGGCCACAAAGCAAAATACCCTGAGGTTTCGAGCTTATACCCAACAAAGCAAAATCCTCTGGTCTTTTCACAGGATACTGAAAATAAATTCATCTTTAATACTATGTCCCGAAATAGCAAATACCAATATACTCCATTCTAATTCTTGCCGTATATCAGATAGAGCTCCAATATCATTCCATGTAACATCCGGCACCGTAGCGAATCCTTCTCGTTTAGCTGAAGGCTGCACGTTCTCAAGAGCTCTCTCAAAGTCATTCATAACCACATGGAATCCTCCTAATCCTTCCAAAACACTCGGGTCGTCATCACCATTCAACCAAATTAGTACTAAAAAAAGTATGAGAGATGAACACTTTCAGATGACACACCTTTATCCAATTCTTCTTTCACTTCCGCATTAGTCATTTGTCTTTTCGTACTGTTTCGATTTACAATCGTATCGAATATTCTGAAACAGAAGGAATGTTTAGTTACCCACCGAAGTTCACTAACCTATTAATGGCGCACTTTGCAGCTTCTCTTACGAGAGCATTCAAATCTGCACCAACATAACCGGGTGTTAAGCGAGCTATGCTCAGCATACTCACATTCTCATCTAATGGTAATCTGAAATTGAAAACATCACCCAAATATCCATAAACGTGACATACTTGCAAATGGTCGATAAGATTTTCAAACGAGCAGCTTCATCTGGGATTCCAAGAGCAATCTCACAATCAAATCTTCCAGCGCGTCTCAATCCACCATCAACGGCGTCTGGTCTACTTGTTGTTCCGATGACCAACACATGTCCTTTCACTGATAAAATGATTATTGGACACACTCGGAATAGCGAGAAACCCACATTCTGCACTATCATTTATGATAGAAACCTCTCCATCTGCTGTGAAATCCAATCGATCTTTGAGCGGCTTATCATCTTTTACTCCAAATAAGTCTTAATATATTAGATAATAACCTTTCGGAAGAAACGCTAATACCATCTAATGAATTGCTTAGTTGACTCACAATCCTTCTCTCCATCTCTCTTGTGGCTGTCTCTCTTCTTGGCGCAATAGCATCTATTTCATCCAAAATCTAAAATGAAAACAATAGTCACGCCACGCGAACTCATTTAAATTTCTCAAACGCGGGAGAGCGGTTGTATCTCCAGCTTCTGCTCTATTATAATCTAACTATTGGTTTTATAGCTGACATACCAAGACACATGGAGCGTTATCTTTTGCAATTGTGAATAGTTGTCGGATTTTGTCTTCTGTTTCTCCAGAGACACCGGAAACTAATTCCGTAGCTGCGAGTTGAAGCAAAGGTAAATCAAATTCTCCCGCTACTGCCTATAAACCGGTGTTGCATTTAGTAAGGAATGTGTTTGAAAACCTGTGCAAACAACGTTTTTCCACAACCAGGAGGTCCGTGAATAATAAATCCTTTGGGAGGATCTACTCCTAACAAGTCGTACGTCTTAGGTCTCTTCAAATGCATTACGAGACGACAAACCTCCTTAAAAGGAAAATTTCAATCTATTTTAATCCCTAGTACTACCAAGAATTGCCTATCACATCCTCCCAAATCATTGAATCGTACATTGGATGTACGCGGAGATATGTTGAACGTAGAAACACTTCCCAGACCACGAGGGGCTGAAGGCGTCTGAACAAAAACAACTTTTATGGTACAGGAAATGAGAAACCAAAACCTTCTCACCGGATGCGTTCGCTGGTTTGTTTTTCTTGGAGCTTTCGGTTTTAGAATTTGTGACATTCAAAGTTAGTTGAGGTGTTTTAGGTTGGTTTTTAGCATACAAATTGAGGAGACCCCTGTTAGCTCTATTATTACCCTGGAAAACAGCGTCATGAGCAACAAGCAACAGCTCGAGACACTTTCAAACCTTGAAAGAATCAAATTCCTTATCAATTGCTTCGTCATCATAGATCGTATTTTTTTTCGGAGTTGATACTCTATAAATGAGTCAGTAACATAAGGACTTCGTGATGGAAACCTTTCAGCTTTTCGTTTCCGAGCACTATTTTTAGCAGGTGTTTCATTGGGAACGTCGATAGGAACAACATCTCCATCACTCCCGCCTGCATCTTCAATAACGTCAACTACAACAGGCTCTGGATTTGCCTCGATTCGCAATTTTTCTAGGCCATCTTGAACAAGCCGTGTGAATGGCTTGAACTGCTTTCGAGAGTATTCTCTGTAAGCAAGCACACTGTATTGTTGGAGATATGGTTTTAGTACGTATATTTCTGTTGCAAATCATATGCGATTCGTTCAGCTCGTAATGATTGGCTCGGGAAGTTGCGACAATGCTGCAAGTCACTAATCGTTTGACGGGTTCTGTTTACTACTAACATACTTCTTTAATTCGTGGTAACAACTGCGGATCACTTAAAAATCCTTCATTTTTCATCTGCAACGATAACATTAGTCATCTGAAAAGTCCTAAACACAAATACGAGCTCGTTTCAACGAGTACAACTTTCTGTTACCAACATATAATTTATTCTTAAATACATTATTATGGAAAGGTAAGAATAACATGTAAACCAAAGCCCACGACACATTAAGCGTTTTTGAAACTATCAAACAACTGGAGGGGGTGAATATGGAGGTAAAAAAGGATGCATATGAAGAGGGGGAGAAGGAAGATGCGAAGAAATCTGGGAAGTACACGACGGGAAAAAACAAGAGAGTAGAGGGAGAGAGCGCAATGGAATATGTTCGATGAGATATCTGCAAATCACGAAGACTTCAGATCTTCAAAGAATACGTAAAAGTACGTAATACGTAATAAAGCCATATACAAATGCAATAATTAGATAAGGCCAAAAAAAGAAATCATATCCTTACATAAGTGAATCAAATGCAGTGCTATAGTGAGAAGAGAATACATTAGTTAGAACTTGGAAGCCTGAGAGATGCGCATTTAAAGAGATTCTGGAAAGGTCAGTTCTCTCTCTCTCTTGAGTAAAAACGTGTCGTTTCTCTTATAATTTGGTTCTTCTGTAGCAGAGTCGCTGTCTCGTTGTCTATCTTGCGTTTTTAAATGTGCGTGTGTGAATGTGATGATGATGATGACGGACGAAAAAACAATCCGTCAAAATCATGAAAAGTGGGAAGTTATAAAACAATCTAAAAATTACAAAAGACAAGAGAGAGAGACGCAGTGGGTACTAGATACGCAGAGATGGCACTTTTTTTTTTTACAAAAGAAGGTAGAATAAGTGAAGATTCAGACTAAGAAACCCAGAAGAGTGTTCTACTACGCACAGCGCTGTTGATATGAGTAGAACTACTCGAATTATACAGAGAAAAATTAGTAAGGAACTTATCAAACTTGTCGTCAAAACTATTAAAATTATACATGAGGCTATCAAAACATTATTTTGTAACGATATCGAGGTAAACATATTGAAGCGCAATTTAAATTATGCATAAGTAACCGTTTAGGAAGGAGATGCCTTGATGCTGTCGGGCAAGTACATCATCCGATCAGAATTTGGCACAGATTTGAAAATCAGTTAGTGTTATCAGAAGAAGATTAATTATAAAAACTTCCACCACCAGCACTAGCTTGTTCTGCTGTTGCCGTTTCGGTGAAGTTCAGAGAATCGTCCATAAGTCCCTGCTTAATTTTGCTTATTTCATCCATATCTTCCTGAAGAGCACAAAAGGCTTACTTGGCAAGTTCAGATTAAACTTACAGGCTTGCTGTTACTTCCTGGTTTATCTTCTAAAGGGGGTCCGACGGGTGTCCCCGAAGAAGGGGGAGGCCCACTTTGAGCAGATCCTGGAGCAGGAGTGCCCCCATTTATGCCGTGTGGTGTTGATGCTGGTGATTGTTTTATCTCTTCACTACCCATCATCATCATAGGTGGCCCATCACCATGAGATGGGGGCATCCCATTATTCCCAACTGACACTGAGGCATCTCCCATGCAATACTGAACATGACAAAACTCATTAAAAATAAGAAAAAGGATAACTTACGGGAGGCATTGACGATGAACTAGGTGGTATTCCCATCATTCCGTAACCGTCTGGAACCCCAGGGGGTCCAGGCGGCATTCCAGGAGAAGCCATAGACATCGGAGCTTGTGATCCCATGCCGTTTGGCATCATTGCTGATGGTGGAAATCCCTGATTAGGGGAATCCATGAATGGTGGGCCCCGAAAACCACCTGCAGCTAAATATTTCATTGTTACCAGACGTTGAAATATATTAACCTTGTGGCGGGGGACCAGGAGTTGGCCTCATCCCTGGACCGGGAGCAAAAGACGTATTTGGCATCCTCATGCTGTTAGGTGGCATTCTTTGTGGTGGCATTCCTCTCGGGTCAGGCCCACCCGGGAACATTCCATAGCCCCCAGACATTGGTCCCTGAGGACCTGGTCTGCCTTGTGGGAACCCACGCATACCTCCAAGAAAACAATGTACCTTGATTAAAAAAAAACTATACCTGGCATCATTCCCTCGGGTCCTCCCATACCCATCTGGCCACCACCCGGCGGTGGAAACTGAAAATTGTCGATAAAAATTATGCTCATTATGAGTGTTTTTATTGTTTGCAATCCCTTCACAAGAGGCCCTATCATAATGATCAGCCAACAATTCGGCCTTATAAGACTATATTCGGCATTTGGGAAGCAATGACCTCATCTACACACTCTGCTTCTCTGCATATGCCCTCTTACTCCCCTACATCGCTTAATATCTCTGACTCTAACTGGTCAACTTAGACCTCGCCCCTTAGCCTAAGACATTGTTGACAGAGTCAGAAGAAGCTCATAATAGGCATTCGCCAAGCCTCTGCATAATCAATAGCAAAATATCTTCCAAATGTAAAACAAAAAAATTCTTTTAAAATACGAACCATTCCTGGCATTCCATTCATCATGTGTCCGGGTCCATATCCTCCACCTTGTACGAACTTAAATAAGGAAGTAAGAATACATCTGAGAAGCTAGAAAATTTACAATGTCATAAAACATTTTGCCTTCTTGGGATGGTTCGGCAGATGTACCATCTCTTCTTTCCGGAGCAGCACAATATAGATCCCAAAACACTCTGAACGAACAAGTTGTCATGACCTTAAGGAGCAGGATTTACTTACAGCCACCAACTCTGTAGAAATCCTGGTCCACTATCAGCAGATTTAAAATGAACTGAGCTTGGAATGTTCTTAATATCAAAGATTCGAAAGATGAAACAACAAAACAAAATCTACATTAACTATTTCCTCTTTGAACGTTTCTGCTGATTTCTGAGCGCCGCTTAGCAACAAATATTCATATACAAAAGTAGCAAGTCTGAAAGAGTTTTTTTAGTGTTTTCTACGATAACATCGATAGGTAGGGTTAAAAGTTCAAAATTTAAGTACTTTTCTTTAGACTGAATCTCGCATTGGCTTTGTTGAGGAGGTTGCATACTGCCTACCGGCCTTCTCGCAGACGCAGGATTGTACATTCGGCTATCTTGTATCCCTCAAGATCATGGAACACTCTACAGTGCTTGCAGCTGAAGAGTTGTGTGAGGCGTGAGTACAGAAGTCAAAAAATTTTTTTCAAAATAGGAGTTGAGATTGAGAGGAATGTCTTAGAAGGAAGTGATGTATAAGGATTGTGATGAAGAAAAAAGGATGAACAGTATTCTACGGAAAATAAAGTTGAAGAAAAGCGATAAAAACTGAAAAGTTCGGAGATTCTTCGGCTAAAAAAGGTGAAGTTATACGTATACAGAAGGAATACAGAAAATGAGGTCGAAAACGCGCTCCATGCAAATTGGAGTATTGACGCTACAAATGGAGTAAATGGGTGTTAGGATGAAATGAGAAACAACAATGTTATATCAGAAAGATGAAAGAGAATCATAGAAAAACTAAAGTTTGAAAAAATGCTTGAATTACGATATGTTTTAACTTTCTGAGCAAAATACACAACATTTACAATTGGCTACTATCCAACCATAGTATCGATTCTTAGACGCGCGAGAGAGTGCAAAAGGTCCCGCCGCGACTATTTGTCCATAGAGCTGGCTTTCAGCCGATTTTCCCTTACGCTTTGCTTGACATCCCTTATAATATGCATAATTTGGAATAATTAAGTTTGTAGTATTAATTAATAATTACATTAGAAAAGAGAGGGGTTCAAATAGAGTTAAAGGGTAAGTGAGGCATAATCATAATATGAGAAAAGTCCTTTTTTTCACATTTTTGTCCTCATTGTTCTGTGTTTGCTTCTATTCTCTAGTTTTCACTCAATCTCTTTCCCAGACATTTAATAGAAAGTATTTTGCTAGGAAATGAAGCTTTCGGCGGCATTATCTCTGAGAAGAATTATTAATAGTTCCTATCACCCATTTCACGTTATCCCCAAAGCTGATCGATGGCTATCCAGAGAGAGACTCAACAGATTCACAGCCGTAAGTAAAACTTCTTTGCCTTCTCCCTTAACCCCCGCATTCTAGTGGCAATATGCTTCTGAAAGAACCACTGTTAAAGGAGCATATAGAAAACAAGATAAAATATTCAACTATTTGGAAATGCAAAGGCACGACGAGCCCCGATTAGAGAAATTCGTGAGTATTATCACCTACGAAGTTTATAATAGTGTAACTTGCAGTATGCTCAAGAAAGGGTTGAAGCTGCATTGCAAGAGCACCATTTCGAGTACAAGCATTTTAGGAATTTACTAGAGAAAGCTCACATACTTCTCGATAATGTTGTTTTGTCTCATCTTGCTATTTACGAGCCTAGGACATTTCATGTAGGGATGTTCGTCTTACCTTATACATGATTCTCTTTAGAGCTTGGTAGCTCTGACAAAAGAAATGGCAGAACGTGAAGGTCGAAGAGTCATTCCGGATGACAATGAATTCAAATATAAGGTAATATTCAAACGCTCCGGACAGAATAATGAAACATATGTTGCAGGTACAGCTTGAAGATTCCCTCTTCGGTGAGCCATATCCGAAAGCTATTCAATATCCCAAAGGAGCATCTGAAAATCATACTAATAAGCCCAGGAAATTGAAACCAGAAGAATACTGAGAACGGGTACTCCAGATCTTCGTAGATACTAAACAGAAGTTAGCTATAGATTTTTATTGTTGATTCATTCTTGTTATTTCTGTTTAAACTTTTTCATTCTGTTGAGAACCTCATAGCGATCTGAAAAATAATAAATTAAATGTCTTCAGAGATCATATAACCCACCTGTTGAACTGTTAAAGTGTTAACACTAAATAGTTCACGTAAATAAGTCACGTGAACAGTTCACGTAAAGTTTCTAGTAAACAGTCCACGTAAAAATTTCACGTGAAACACGCCACGTGAAACATTTCATGCGACTTTATAACTCATTTTTAATTTCAATTCTCGAGGAGCGGTTGAATCCAGCACCTTCTATACTATTGCTCGTAACTCCCACTCATGCATGAAAATTAAAGTTCATTGCTAAACACTCTATTCAAAAACGCCATTTTTTCCCATTTTCTTCAAACGGATTAGAATGTTGGGAAGCGTAACAGAGAATGGTAATTTAACTTCATCTAGCATACTTCAAAACGTTTCAGTATCAAGTCAACTTCCACAAAATTCGATTTTTTATTCATTTCTCGTTTTCCGGAGCTCTTTGAGCGAATTAAGCTTCGGTAAGATTAAATCAACAACATAGATTCTATATCGCGTGCATCATGCTCATTACGGTACGTTCCTGTCCACAGAATAATATAGGGCTAGGTCAATATTCGCATACTTGATACCATTTACGTCCAAAACTACAAAATAATCATATTCAAATGTAAAAAGAGGCAGTTCTTACGTGATAAAGTAATGATTTGTTCTGTAGGATTGCTAACAAGCTCTAACAAGGCAACAGCAAGTTCCTCACTATCTTCTCCGGTGTCAGTCATCAAGCAGAACTCAAGCTTATTTTGCAGTTCTATGTACTGTTCCAGAAGAGCGATGTCTTTCCGGGTGAGTTTATATTCTGAAACATTCAAAACTAATCTCATGAGAAGGGCAGTTTCACGATACCTTTCGTATAATTGAACACAAGTGTAATAGGTTGCTGACTATGATCAAGAATTCTACTCTCAGGCACACGACACTCCTCTGCCGGAAAATCCAAGAAGGTCCTCCAAATTAAAAAAAATTTTTGACACAGACAAGATCAAACATACCAATCAATGTATAGTTTACTATTTTGGTAACTTGGATGCATCAAAGGTGAAAACTCGAAGTTATAAACTCGGTCTATGTACAATGTTGCAGACCCTACGATTGTGTTGTCCACTGGAAAGTTGAACTGAAATTTTGAGGTTGTGCTATCAATATATGGGTGGCACTCACTTCTATAGGCCTTGGTAATGACTTGATGACACTTCGGCCACCATTGTCAGGTAAAGAAACACTCGGTTTTTCTCGTTTACCAGTGGGTGAAGCCAATGAAGAACTCTCGCTCGCTGGAAAGAATGAAATATGAGGTTCATTTTCATGGAGACTATTCTATTGACTATTTTACAGAGTCATGAAAATGTAAATCAAAGAAAGGTGTCACGTATAAGTCAAATAGAACTCCCTCAGTTCACAGGAAAAACTCACGAGGTATTGAGTGATGTAAGGGATGTGTGAAGACTACATTCCTTCCAGATTTATTCGATTTTTTTTCTTTCTGCGAACTCTCGTCGCTTTCCGACGATGACTCCAGAGGTTCCTGAATCGCTGATTGGAATAAGCTCGAGGAACGTGAATCCGATTGTAACTGTAAGTAACTTTAATACCAATCACTCTTGCGAACATACTTTTGAGATGCGTGGTTTTGCGATAGGTGGCAAATCACCTAACAAACTTTTAACTTCATTCCGATCTTGCTCTCGCTTTCGCTCACTTTCCACAGGCATGCCATCAGATTCCACGCTTTCGTCAGCAACTGAAAAACTGTAATGAGAAGTACGTTTTAAGAGTGTTCAGCAACCATTTCCTTCAACTTTTTCTTTAGTGTAAGTATTATGCGAATTGTCGCTATTATCATCTGAGGAAGTTATATTAGAAGAAGATTCTGAGAGTAACTTTGGAGGCGAAGAAGGCTTCTCGCTTTCTTTACTAGAACGCCTGCGAGGTTTCGGTGGGGGGTTAGAAGGAGGGATTCTATCCAACTCTTCTACAGTGGTAATTGAAGAGGATCGTGATGAGGAAGAAGAAGAAGGAGAACGAACAATTTCAACTCTGCAAAGTTAATACTTCAGACCAGATGTAATCAATTGACTCACATTCTAGGACGTTCCCATAACTCTTCATCTGGACTTTCTAGAACTGAAGGTTTCCGTTGTCCTAGGGATGGACTTGAGGAAGCGGAAGACAATGGGGATGCATCAATACCGTTTGATTTTATTATATTACCTTCAGTTCGTTCTCTCTGAAACGACATTCTTTTGTTAAGAACTAATGTATTTGCAAACCTTCAGATCGGAGATAGGAGATGTCGGATCATTTGTGGCATCTTTACTGTCTGTGTGTTCATTACTGCTATTGTTATTCCGGTCACTTATTAAGCAATGTTTCCAGAATATAGACAAATCTAGTACCAACTGGGTATCTTCCAATGTTGGCTAGAAAAATGAAAAGTTAGAGAAACTCTGTGAAGTCGAACCTCAACCATCGTGAAAGAGCCTTTAATGGCCTGGTTACCCAACAATGGAAGCAGAGGTAAGGTGAGAAGACCAAGAATTCCATCACCCTTTTTGTCGTCTGCCATGTTTATAAGGAAAAATGTGATACTCTAGATTGAAAAAGGTATTCGTGAAACCAAAAAAGGAATAACTAACTTGTTCCTTCATGAATTTAGCTTGGTTCAAAGGTATTGGCCATGCCTTCTGTGACTTCAATTCGACACTATTTCCAGAGCATATGGCAGTTTCAGTGAAAAACGGAGAGAATCCCAATAACTCATACACGACGCATAGCTCCACAGGGGCTAAAAAGTGGGACAGTTAATGTAGAGCCCTATACGGTTCATACTTTTTAAAACTTGTTCAATGCCTGAGCAGCGATGCACAGCGACAATAAGCTGATTAAGAGATGAATCTTCTGCTTCAGTCATAACATCTAGTGGCAACAATTGTTGAGCACATTCCGCTTTCTGAAACGTAATCATAACTCTGGAAAGCGTTAAAACAAACCTTATAACTTGATATTGCTTTCTTCAAATCCTGACCAATAGTTATTTCATAAGTGATCACTGCTATACTCTGGCCTGTTTTGATATCCATAAAGTGAACAGAGCTCTCATATTTTTGATGATTTTTCTGAAAAAGAGAGGGTACATATATATCTATTCAGCTTACCTTCTGAAGCAGAGTATTCAAACTTATGACTGCAGCAGCCATTTGGGTATAGCTGTTAGATTGAGGACGGTACATCTCAATCGTAATGCCATTCTGAAAATAATAATGAAAAACATTATAAGAAAGCAAGACTTGCAGTTTGAAGATAATGAATGAAAAGATTTGAGCAAACAAGGTTGTACACAGTCGTATGGTCCATAGGTTGTTTCTCAATGAACTGTAGATGAGGCGTAGTTTGTAGTTCAAAGTCGAAGAATTCCAATGAAAGAAAGATAGCAGAAGGAGAGCTGCCGGTTGAAACCAAACTGTTCACATAGCTCTTATGGAACCTTAGGGACAACAATCTAACTGACAATTCTGAGTGCAACGAGTCTCCATCCTGTAATTGACCAAAATTATTCGAGATAAACATTTAAAATAAGATTTGAGATCATTTTTTCCGATAAAGAACACTCTCACAAAATGCAAAAATGTTCGCAGTCAGCAGGATTCGAACCTACGCGGGCAGAGCCCAATT